CCCCCCCCCCCCCCCCCCCCTCCACATACCTCGCCGATAATCTCTTGTCTGGGTCATAGGTGAGCATCTCGTTGAGGAGGTCAACCCCTTCCTTGCCGACGTGAGGGAGCAAAGCCCCGAGAGTGTTGTACCTGAGAAGAACGCACCAAAAGAGAAAGCACGTACAGGAGGAAGCAGCCCGATCTACTGGCAACTGCGGTATTGGTGGAACTGCCGATACAGCAGTGGCATCAAAATATCTTGTCACAATCTCAAAATTCACATGAACCCCATGCATCGAATTGTGGCAACGCCCTGGACAGTGCAACATTCTCCTTTTGCCCCTGCACGCCATAATATCGGGCTGCGTACTGTACGACCACGTAAGGTGTCTGCGTTGGGCCGGTACGGATGTGAAAAAGGTACCGCAGTCAGCAGAGAGACCGGATTGGCTACCAAGTGGCAAGCCAGCCAAAGCATCCATACACAAGATATCAACAACTACAGGCTTTCCATGCACACTTTCGTCCTTCTCGGAATCATTCATGCACCAGCCGCAACAGAACTTCGAGCACGCTGATCTTGCATGAAAGTGGAATGACACGCACGGTAGCGTTCGCCCCCGTCAGTCATGTGTGTTGGAATATCGCACCGGGTAAAGTGTCGTTTTGAAACCGACCTGACACATTCAACGGCGTCGACTTTCTACCATGATTCAAGGTTTCCCGCTTTGCTGTTGGTGAACCATACAAAGCAGAAGCCACCTGCTCGTAATACCATGTGCGAGTACAAGAGTCATCCCTCAGTCGAAATCTCACTTTTTCGCTGCTGCGGGCCTGTGACAGACTCGAACTCACTCAAGTGCCGCTGTATCATCCCTCGGTCGGACGCTACGACACAAAGTTACCTCTTGGTCCCGGTTGGTTAGATATATAGGCAACAAGCATATTATATATATTCAAGCAATCTCTCCGGATTGGGCTCATGAGAGCTCAGTGTCACCAAGGGTTGATTGCTGAAAACAAAAGTACGCAGCAGGACCAACCTACAGGCGACGGCAAGCTGCCAGCTTGCGATGACACTTCCCAAGCTCAAAACCTCTCACAGCTGACGAACTTTTGACTCGAACAGCCCAGCGAACCTCAACCAACCCGAAAAAAAAAAAATCCGTACATCTTGCCTGGACGAGAAAAATTCAAACAAAACTACTTGCGAGCGCTACAACTGTTTACTGAATACGTTCCAAAACGCGAGTGCTGATCATCATCTAACGGAGAGGCCCCTGCCACAGCAACCCCTCACTAACCGGTGCGAAACCCCGAGCACGTCAATCTTGCCCGATCGGACGTTGGGCAAGTCCAGCAGGGAAGGCCAGATTCGCTCGCTGGGGGCACCCAGCAGCTGTATCCCGCCGCCGCCGGGGAAAGCCACAGCATCGGGCGACGAAACCCACACACCATTCACCACGTTTGAGGGGAAGGGGAGGGGTGTTACCGGTTGTACGGAGGGGGGGGGGCAGGGCATGGGGGGGTGTACTCATCGTCGTGCATGCCGTAGTCGTTAGACTATTGACCTCGCATCCCTACAAAGCCGGGACGGAGCACGCCGGGTTCCGCTACTGTATGTACCCCAGGGGGGAAAACAGGGAGGCCGCTTCCTCTTTCGTCATGCTGCATGCACGCTGCAGCGTGAGTGAATCCCTACCACCACAAGGATCCACACGCTCGCCCTACACAAACGGTGGCAATCCTGTAAGGGGGGGGGAAGGTCAACACACGCAACAGTGATTATCACCGCTTTCTCTCTGTCTGTTCTGCTTTCGTCAAGCTCAACCAACAGGAAAACGCGTGCAACAATCGTTGAAGTTTCGAAAAACCCAGCGACAACGTTAAGGGTTGCCGCCAACAACTCGACACGACGAGTACACGTCCTGCTACAGTGCAAGACTGACATCTTTCCATCGTTCAGCGGGCTTTGGCACGGTCGATGCCAACTGAGGGGACACACACACACATGCGATGTTCCTCTGTTGCTACCGTTTCTGTCTTCAACCCGGAGAGCAGCGTAGCTGCCGCCCGGCACAGTCCCTGATAATGGGGTTTAGAAGCCTTTTCTGTCTTCAGCCGCACTGACACTGACGCCTTCTCACTGGTCAGCCGGCGAGCGCTAAGGTCGATGTAAAAAAAAAAGAAAGGCACACACGCACCGCACTGAGACTGGCGTCTTCTCATTGGTCAGCCGGCTCGCGATAAGATCGATATGACGGGAAACAAAAAAAAATGAAACACACACACACACACACACACACATTTGTTTGATTCATCTAGCTGCTGACACGATGACTGTTGGATCTTGGGAGTGTACGATCATCAAATTGGGAGATGCAGCATACCACGATATCCTGGCTTCGGCTGGGCTTGAAATAACCCTTTTGCTGTACTCCGCTCTTTGCATCAGTGGCTTCCTAGATTCGAGCGAATGCATTTGTGTAGCTGAGATGTGTGTCTACGTGAAAGAACATGTGGAGAGAGTCGTATTGGCATTCGCATCAAGCGCATTGCGCATTTTTCGAATTTTGGCCCCCTTCCAGGGACCTTGATTTTTACCCGCTGGCACTGACGTCCTTTAGTTGGTCAGCCGGTTAGCGCGGTCGATGCTAATAATACAAAAACACACACACACACACACATGCATACACACGCGCATACCGCAGGCAATTCGCAACACAACACACCTTGAAAATCTTGTGAACCTGATCGAGGTCCGTCTTCCCCGGCATCAGGGGCTTGCCCAGCAGCAGCTCGCCGAGGATGCACCCCGCGGCCCACAGGTCTACCGCCGTCGAGTACGTGTCGCACCCCAGCAGCAGCTCCGGACACCGATACCAAAGCGTAACCACCTAAAAGCATGTATTGAAATAGACGTGGTGTAGGCTACGCATATATTGAATTCGAAGACAACAACACACCCCGAACAACAGCGGCGGCAGCAGCAGCAGCAGCAGCAGCAGCAGCAGCAGCACAGCGCGCGGTAGCGAAGCAAGAAAACACAAAAAGCTCCAGCAAACATTGCCACAATGAAAACGCGAGAAACAACAAAAAATAGCGGGGACACACACACGGAGAGAGAGAGAGAGAGAGAGAGAGAGAGAGACCGCAAGCAGGACCACACCTTCGGAGTCATGGGCTGAACGGGGTGCCCGAAAGTTCTCGCAAGCCCGAAATCGGCAAGTTTGAGCTGGCCCTGACAGAAGGAAAAAACAAAACACGAAAAGCACGACCGTCGAAAATATCAACGAGAGAACTAGCAGCGTGCCAAAATGCCGGGGACAGGGGACACCCGAATCGCATTGGAAGCAGAATCGCTCACGCTGGCGTAGCTGGGTCAGGGCCGCAACCTAGACTCTCGAAGTAGGTTCCGCATGGCGAAAAATTACGCAAAAGCGCTACCAAAAATAACTTCCTGGTGTCGGACAACATGAAACAGAAGTGGTACAGTGGCCGCTACGGTTAAATAGAGGGTCGTGACAAGCCAGTATTTCTCTCAAATCCGGGTTTCTCTTAAACCGTACTGTGAAACGTATGTATTTCTCATGGCCGTGACAAGCCAGCTTGACTCTCTCAAATCGCTACTTTCTCTTAAAACAGCCTTAAACCGTGGCCGCCACTGTACCCGCTGCAGGTGTGTTCACCAACAAGCCCGCCACCACCATTAATTGCGGTTTGATTCGCGCATCCATACGAAACGGCAGTTGGAGGGTTGCGTGGACAACCTGGTTGTTATACAGCAGGTTGGACATCTTGAGGTCCCGATGAATGATCCACCGGCTGTGGAGGTACTCGATCGCGTCCAGCAGCTGGAGCATGATGCACTTGATCTGCGTTCAGCCCCGAGGTCGGCAAACAAGGGGGGGGGGGGGGGGGGGGGGGGGCGTACTCTTATGTTTTGCATGTCTTAGCGGTTAGACCATTGACCACGCGTCCTCGAGAGGACGGAGCATTGTTCCCACAGGACCGATCACCGATGGCCAATCGTTCCTTTCTACTTTGCCAAAGGTGGCTCAAAAATGTCTTCCCTAGTCTGTCTATCCTAACGATATCCCTTCCCGCCTTTTCAACCCACCTCCTATGCCCCAGTACAGCTACCGTCCTTTCCTCTCTATTCCATGCCTCAAACATCTCCCTGTACGTTCCATCTATTTTTCCCAGCTCAGTCACGTACACTTCCCTCTCCTTCTTGTACAACGGACATTCCGCGACTACATGAACACGGTCTTCGCATTCGAAGCCGCAATCACATTTGAACTCGTCGTCTTCCTCGTCTACCGTCCTATGTCTTCGTCGACGTTCTCGAAGGCCTATGTCCCCGGTCCTGAATTTGACCTTAAGCTTTGTTCCTGCATCCATTGGTCCATGTAGGTAGTCCTTGAACCCTATTCCTTCCTTCAACATTCCGTACACTTCTAGACCCTCCTTATCCTTGGATTCTTTCCTCAGATTCTGTTCTTCTCTCTCGGCACAAGCAACAGATATCTTCTCCTTGAACCCCTGTAGACCCTCCGTTTCCAGCGTTTCATCTTCGTCGATGTCGAGCCCCTTCCATACGTCCTCTACAACCTTGACCCATTCCGTGGGTTGTCTACCCCTCTTTTTGTTTGCCCACTTCGCCTCCCATACAATTCTCGGCAACCTCTCCTCTCCCATCCCGCACATGCGATACTGCCAGGTCAGCTTCCTCGCGTCTCTTCCCGACCGTAGGGATTGGATCCGGGGCAAGGCGACAAGGCAACAACGCGACAAGGCGACAAAATCATCATCAACAACAGCAGCAACAACAGCAACAAAAGCAACAACAACAACAGCAACAACAATATTTAGCCAACAACTTAACAGCACAATCAAGAAATAAGGTAAACATCTTCCGCAAGCACGCACAGACTACTGCTCCCTTACGAACAAAAGGCCCGATCTCGGACATTCGCCTACGCAAGCCCCGGCATCGGCAACCCGCATGACAGCGGTGCTGTGGCAGGCACAGGCAACAGCAGCATAACCGATTATTGGCGAAGGTCTTGTGCCTGGGAAAATCAGCAGAAAGCGCCTCATGGTGCTTCTCCCGGTAGCCCCCTTGTCGAGTACAATGACCCTCTAATGCAGCCGTGTCTTTCAGGAATCACGCTTAACAGAACGTCTCCGTCTCTGCTCACATACGCAAAAAATACACCTTGTTCTGTTCGATCAAAATAATGGGTAAGTTTCGTCCTGCGCGAGTAGCTGATGCCGCCACGCGAAGCCGACCCACACGGCACGAAAAAACATTAAAAGGGAATACCCCCCCGCCCCCCCCGGTGTTTGCCATCGGGGTTGGGTTTTCGTCGCTTGGCAACGACGTTGTAAAACAAGCCTCCCCATCTGTGTTTGCCATCGGGATTGGGTTTTCGTCGCTTGGCAACGACGTTATACAACAAGCCAAGTCACTTCGTGAGCTTGGCAACCAGGTTACCGTTTTTTTCTTCACCTCTATTTTTGTTTTTGGCGGTAACCATAATGGTGGTCGAGTAGATCATGTTGTGCGGGGTGGAGAACCCTCACTCCGCGCAAGGGGGATGATCGCACCACGTTGTGTTAAAATGGTCAAGCACCCTCGAGGCAGTTACACAGTGCTTACAACTGTCTCTGGAAGTGAAAGCACCAGAAAATAAATTAAGTCATACGCAGCTGTCATCCGTACGCAAGGAAGTAAGCACAAGATGCCGAACACCCTTAGCAGGATGCAGCGCACCCTTCATGCGACTCGCCGAATATCTCACGGCGCTTCGCGCTTGGTGATGTGAGAGCCTGGTCCGGTGAGAACCCGGCGTGCTCCGTCCCGGCTTTGTAGGGATGCGAGGTCAATGGTCTAACGACTACGGCATGCACGACTATGAGTACCCCCCCCCCCCTCCGGTGTTTGCCCATCGGGATTGGGTTTTCGTCGCTTGGCAACGACGTTGTAAAACAAGCCTCCCCATCTGTGTTTGCCATCGGGATTGGGTTTTCGTCGCTTGGCAACGACGTTATACAACAAGCCAATTCACTTCGTGAACTCGGCAACCAGGTTACCGTTTTTTTTTTTTTCCTCCGTTTTTTTTTTTTGGCGGTAACCATAATGGTGGTCGAGTAGATCATGTTGTGCGGGGTGGAGAACCCTCACTCCGCGCAAGGGGGATGATCGCACCACGTTGTGTTAAAATGGTCAAGCACCCTCGAGGCAGTTACACAGTGCTTACAACTGTCTCTGGAAGTGAAAGCACCAGAAAATAAATTAATTCATACGCAGCTGTCATCCGTACGCAAGGAAGTAAGCACAAGATGCCGAACACCCTTAGCAGGATGCAGCGCACCCTTCATGCGACTCGCCGAATATCTCACGGCGCTTCGCGCTTGGTGATGTGAGAGCCTGGTCCGGTGAGAACCCGGCGTGCTCCGTCCCGGCTTTGTAGGGATGCGAGGTCAATGGTCTAGCGACTACGGCATGCACGACTATGAGTACTCCCCCCACCCCCCCCAGACGGACAGGTAGACGTACAAGCAGCAGGGGACAGGTTGATTGAAGGGTGGGAGTCCATAGTGAACGCAACGGCAGAGAGAGTAGTGGGAAAGAAGGTGGTACGATGTGGGGTATCGGTTAAGTGGTGGGATGACGAGCTGAAAGAAGAAATAGGGGAACGTAGAGAAGTCTTCAAGCAGTACCTGAGTGAGGCGTCTGAGGAGAGTTGGGAAAAGTACAGGGCCAAGAGAAAACAGGTGAAGGGACTAGTGAAAAAGAAGAAAAAGTGTATTTGGGACGAAGTAGTGCAGAAGGCCAACGGAGGCCTGGAGGGAAACGTCAAGCAGATGTGGGAAGGGATTAGTGGAATGGTAAAAAAGACCGCGCAAGGGGGGGATACAGGGGTAGCAACTTTGCGAGGTGTGAACGGTGGATTAGTCAGCAGTGGGAAGGGAAAAAGGGAAGTTCTAGCAGGACACTACAAGAGACTTGGAGTGCCCTCGGAGAATGAAGCTTTTGACCAAGCGTTTAAGAAGGAGGTGGACGCATGGGCCCAAAAAGAAGAAGAGACATCGAAGGCAGACGTTGGGAACGTAGAACTAGAAAAGGAGTTCACTGAGGACGAGGTTGAGGCGTGTGTGAACAAGCTGAAGTGCCACAAAGCAGCAGGAGCGGATGGGATAGTCAACGAGTTCATGAAGTTTGGGGGGAAGGGGATGATCCAGCTGATGGTACTGCTATACAATTGGGTGTGGAAAAACGAGTATACGCCAAGTAGATGGAGGGAAGGAGTGGTTGTGAACTTGTTTAAGAAAGGAGACAAGACTGACCCAGGAAACTACAGGGGGATCACACTGTTGAACACAGTAGGAAAAGTGTTCTGTAAGCTGCTGAACGATAGGATAGTGGGAGTATTGGAGAAGGAACATAGCATTAGTGAGGGCCAGGCAGGTTTCCGCAAGAAGAGGGGGTGCGTAGACCACGTGTTCACGGTAGGGAGAATCATCCAAGGTAGAAAGAGGGCGGGAAAGCCGACGTACTGCTTCTTCCTGGACGTGAAAAAGGCATACGACACCGTATGGAGAAATGGGTTGTGGAAACAACTGTCCAAATACGGGATCAAGGGGAAAATGTGGAGAGTGCTGAAGAAGATGACAGAGTGTACGAAAAGCGCGGTCATGCTAGACGGAGAACTGTCAAAATTCTTCGACATTGAGCAGGGGGTCCCACAAGGTTGCACGCTGTCCCCAACATTGTTCCAGGTGTTCATCAACGATCTGTTGGAAGTCGTAGAGGCAGTCCGGAAGGGAGTAAAAGTAGGGGACACGGAAACGTCGGTTTCAGGAATGCTGTTTGCGGATGATTTTGTCGGTATGTCGGACACCCCTGAGGGACTGCAACTGCAAATTGACGCGGCGAAGAAGTTTACTGATAAGTGGAGATTGTCTGCCAACGTTCAGAAGAGTGCCGTCATGGTATGCAACGAGAACAAGGAGGAACCAGTAGAACATAGATGGAAGTGGGGGATCGAGGAGATTGCAGTAGTGGACCAGTACACATACCTCGGAGTAGAGATCGCAAAAGACTGCTCGTGGAATGCACACATGTCCAAGGTAGCGGAAAAGGGCAAAGCACGAGCAGGGAAGCTGCACCCAATACTCGCAAACCGGCACCTCGATACACGCATCAAATTGACGGTTTTGAAGAGCGTAATCGTACCGCCGCTAGAGTACGCCGGAGAAGTATGGGAAGGAAATAAGAAGGTAGTGAAAGAACTCGAGGCGGCGCAGATGAAAGCAGCGAAAATCATCCTAGGATGCTCCAGGCGCACAAGTAATGCAGCCGTGAGGGCAGAATTGGGGATCCAATCCCTACGGTCGGGAAGAGACGCGAGGAAGCTGACCTGGCAGTATCGCATGTGCGGGATGGGAGAGGAGAGGTTGCCGAGAATTGTATGGGAGGCGAAGTGGGCAAACAAAAAGAGGGGTAGACAACCCACGGAATGGGTCAAGGTTGTAGAGGACGTATGGAAGGGGCTCGACATCGACGAAGATGAAACGCTGGAAACGGAGGGTCTACAGGGGTTCAAGGAGAAGATATCTGTTGCTTGTGCCGAGAGAGAAGAACAGAATCTGAGGAAAGAATCCAAGGATAAGGAGGGTCTAGAAGTGTACGGAATGTTGAAGGAAGGAATAGGGTTCAAGGACTACCTACATGGACCAATGGATGCAGGAACAAAGCTTAAGGTCAAATTCAGGACCGGGGACATATATAGACCTTCGAGAACGTCGAAGACATAGGATGGTAGACGACGAAGACGACGAGTCAAATGTGATTGCGGCTTCGAATGCGAAGACCGTGTTCATGTAGTCGCGGAATGTCCGTTGTACAAGAAGGAGAGGGAAGTGTACGTAACTGAGCTGGGAAAAATAGATGGGACGTACATGGAGATGTCTGAGGCATGGAATTGAGAGGAAAGGACGGTAGCTGTACTGGGGCATAGGAGGTGGGTTGAAAAGGCGGGAAGGGATATCGTTAGGATAGACAGACTAGGGAAGACATTTTTGAGCCACCTTTGGCAAAGTAGAAAGGAACGATTGGCCATCGGTGATCGGTCCTGTGGGAACAATGCTCCGTCCTCTCGAGGACGCGTGGTCAATGGTCTAACCGCTAAGGCATGCAAAACATAAGAGTACGCCCCCCCCTCCGCCCCCCCCAACCCCTTATGCCGCCCCCTCACGGGGTCTCAACACATGGCGTTTAGTAGAAGTGTTTTGTGTTGTAACCGCACTGCGACTGACGTCTTGCATTGGTCAGCCGGATACCACGAACGATGGAAATAATAAAAATACACACATTTGTATGTACTTGGAAACATAACACAGACTCTGCTGACCACATGGTCCAACAAGATCATGTACGAGACCTGGAGTCCCGCTCTCCCCATAAGGCAATAGCGGGGAGGGGGCTGGGTTCTTCTGAGCTTGGGGGGGGGGGGGTACTCATAGTCGTGCATGCCGTAGTCGCTAGACCATTGACCTCGCATCCCTACAAAGCCGGGACGGAGCACGCCGGGTTCTCACCGGACCAGGCTCTCACATCACCAAGCGCGAAGCGCCGTGA